AAGTTCACTTTTGTAACCAAAATTAGTTCAAATTTTTAAAGATTCAAATGTCTGCTTTGTTAAAATGTATAAAGCACCCTAGAAAGCACTTGCTTTCTGTTGAAATGCTGTCATTCATTAAAAAATTACTGTTTCTACTCTTAAAACTAGTGCTTAATTTCTGGTGATCCCTAAATCTCAACTGTAAAAACTCATTACTTCTTCTAGCAGCCTTTAATGAGGCTGCTAGAGTCAAATTTCTATGTTGTCTTCTTATGAACTTACAGCTGCGCTTTGTGTGCCATTATCTATTTTTTCCACTTGTTAAACTCAAGAGGGGGAAGAACTATGTTTTTGTTCATCACTGTTCCCCAGTGTCAAATACATAGTTTGGCCTACACCAAGAGCTTAATAAATGTTTACTGATTCATGAAGAATTAGTATTCCTAGTTTTTTCCTTAGCCACTTACGGGCTGTCTGATCTTGGACTAGACACTTATCCAAGTTCCATTTGCTGTGTAACCTGAAGGTAATATTACCTACCTTGCAGATTATCTAACTTTACCCTTACATCTTGCCAAAGATGGCCTCGGGATTTCCTTCACATTGTCTCTTTGTCTTGTAGCTTCTCTGTGTTCCACTTGTCCCAATTTGGCCTAAACTCTTAGAACTCCAAACTGGGCAGGACCCTAAAAACTGTGTAAATTTGGAATGTCACGTGGACACTCAATGAATTAATTCACAGGACTCAACTCTAGCTATAATTTTTGCTACTAATAATTGTTCACTGTCCAAAAGAAAAAAATGAGACAGATACCAAAATACCATGCTAAAAATAAGGTAATGTTATAAAAGAGATACAAAATTGTATGAAAATTAAGAAAGTTAATTTCTGAAGGGTCAGGAAAGGCTACATAGAAGTGGCTTTTGCCCTGCCTGAAGGATGGATAAGATCCTATGAGTGGAAAATGGGGTAGGGACAAACATTCTAGAAATGAACCAATATCATCTAGCATACTTGACCTTACTTGAGTTATGAGAATGTGGCCCTAATGTCACTGGGCAGTTCTGGGACCCTTGGTTAGCTCTTTCTCCCTCCCTCCCCAGTGAACATTTCAAATTCTCCTTTCCTCAATTCTTCTATGAAACGCCTATCCCTGCATTCTCAGCACAGAGCCTCCTTTGCTGCTTTAACCAAAAAAGACTAGTGGGCATGCATTCCCTCACTCCTCAGATGTATGATGGTCCATCTGTTCTTCATGTCTTATACCCCTCTCTTCAATAATTAATTCATGACAAGTAATTTAAGTACAATGCTTAATTACAATCAAGCCTAATAAAATACCATCATTTTTGAGAGAACAGCATTGTTCTAATGAACCATAACTGGTAGATTAAATAATGTGTGGTTAATTCTCTCATATGCAAATACCCTGCAGAGCTGCCCAAATGGGATCCCCTGCCCTTACCTTGAGCTCACTAGGCTTCTTCTCCTCAGAAGACTTGCAGCGGGTAATCTCCTGCAGCTTCTGTTCCAGCGGCTCCAGGCACTTTTGCAGTTTTTCCTGAGGGGTGGGGAGGAAATGAGAGAGGTGACATTTGGGGTTGGCTGGTACACTCATCATTCAGAGGTTAACCCATCTGTTTGCTTCTTAGCCTAGCCATCTCACCACTCCCTTCCTTGTCTACCATTGGGATGTCAACCTCCTATAGGTCCCTTATGCCACAAACTTGTCCCCATCACCTTCCCTGTTCACCCAACTGTCCTCTCACTGAATCTGAAATAGCTGTCTAGTTGCCAACTCGGTGTCCTTCCCCAGCTTTTTCCATTTTCTTACTCAGGCAACTGCCTATTACCATCAAAGCTACCTTCTATACCCCGATGTCTTTCTTTAAACCTGTCTTCCCATCCAACTCTAACCACCTCACCTACAATAAAAACTTATTATACTGTAAATTACTTTAAATCTTGTTTTCAAGATTTTATTGAGCAAAGAATATGATAAAGTGCTAAGACATTAATAACTCTGGTTCCCATTGCTCAAACATTTACCCTATGTCCCAGCAGTAAGTTAAATGAGATGCCATGTTACCCATTATTGGGGGAAGATGCAAACAACAGAATGTTTCAGCTTAGTCTGGTGGGTATCAGGTTAAGTGATGTTATCTATTCCCAATACCAATGGGAAAACAAGGAACATTCTGAATAGGGAGGCAGAATAAAGCAACCAGACTACTTTTCAGTTCTTCCTAAATTTGATCTTCTCTATGTGGTTTCCTTCATTTATGAAAAATGATACATCCCAAGACCACAAATACCAATATTCACCCATAAGATGTAAATATATTGCAAAAGTCACAGAGGAATTTTGTTCTTTTTCATGTCAGAGGACAACTGACCAGATATACTGTGTGCCCCTTGTATATGCAGCTCTGAGGGGACCATAGGGTGAGTACTGGGAGCTTACAATTTCTACCCAGGCAATATCCCATCCTCTGCTGCTTCCTCCCCTTTTCCCCACATTGGCATCATGTGTCTGGTTCCCCACCTTGTACTCTTGTGTAGCGTCATCCAGTGGCACAACAGTGTGGGCCCGGTGGGTGTGGGAAATTGCACAAATCAAACATACAGCCTCCTGGTCCTCATAGCAGAAAAGGCTGAGGGCCTCATGGTGCTGAGGGCAGAGGTTCTCATCCCGGATCTTCCGCTTGACACCCTGAAGCTGCTTGGCAATTTCCACCATACTACCTAGTTGCCGATTAGGCCGCAGACTGCGGTAGCGAGATGTCTTTCTACAGACAGGACAAGGGAAGTCCCTCTCTAGGTCCTCCCACCAGCGGGTGATGCAAGCTTTGCAGAAGTTGTGCCCACATTCAATGATGACAGGCTCCTTCAGATACTCCAGGCACACAGAACAGCTTGCCTCCACCTGTAAGTTCTCCAGAGCTGCAGCTGTGGAAGCTGCAGAGGCCCCAGCCTCTAACAGACTCGTCTCGGCCATTATTTAACTTGGAGATGAGAAAAGATAAATATTAGTTGGAGGTTTAATTTTTTTCCATCCTTGGCCTGAAATTTACTCCCAGGCTAAACCCTAACTCCAGATTTAGCCCCAGCTAGTTATTCTCCATCTTTTCTTCCGCTAGATTCAACTTTGTTTCTCCATTTCCAAAACTTGTGACTCCCAGCCATCAACCTATTTTTTTTTCTCTTCAGCAAACTGACACACAACCCCCATTCTATTTTTCGTCTCTTACCTCTGCTTTCTCTTGTTAGAAACAGAGGCTTCCTTCAACTCTAGCTCAGCATACTCCTCCTGATCCGGCTGATCCCACTTGTATCTTAGAATCAATAGTTCCAGCCCACTGTATCTTAGTTTAACATTTGTTTCTAATGGATGAGAGAGGAGTTCGGGAAGTAAAAAGTGTCATAAAAGTCAAAGTATTAAGATTTCTTAAATTAGGTATATTTTAACGTTTATTGTTACAGAAGAGTTTTATCATAATAGTCCACTAGAGCCTAAGCTTGATTTTCTGCCACTGTTCCCTTATTCTTCCAAAGGGTCATAAATTGAATGAGTTAGGCAAAGGTAACATGCATCCTCTTTTCAGGAAAATCTGAAATTATTCTTCCTCTTATCAGACTAGCCTGGAGAAAATGTGCTCTCTTCTTGGAATGAAATGTTTCATACAACATCTTATTTCTATTTGTCTGCATTTAGACACTTGGAACTGTTATATATTGTGTCCGCAACTTATTTGGAGTGGTTCAGAATTTAGAGAAAGGAAAAAGGTAATCAAATCTCCCTCAAGTGAAGCATCAAAAGAACTGGAAACAGCATCAGAGAGATTTATAAAGCAGAAGGCTAGTTACCCACTCCATGCTTAAAACGTCAACATTTTATCTATGAATAAAATCTCTCTATCCTCGTAACCCTTTCTTCCCCTACCCCAAGGGACCTAACAGAAAGAAATTTGGTAGATTTATGTGCTGAGAGAGAAGTGGCTACGTAATGAGTTAGTTAACAACGATTACTTGTATATATTGATGGTACACATTGAAGTGTTTAATTTGGAGTAGGAGCTGATAACTTATTTGGACCTGAATTTCTTCTCTCAACAGTAGGAGAAATTCATTCAGATTATTTTTCTCTACCTATGGGAATCCAATTTCGACTAGTGACTCCGCCCCTTCCTCAGTCCTCTAGAAATTAGGTGGCCTCCTCACCTGGGATATGTTGCATCGCATGCACAGTGGAGCACCAGGATGGATCTAGACTGGCAAGGACATGGTGCGAAAGAGAAATGTGGAAAGGGTTAGAGAAGAATGGAAAGGACTTGGGGCTACAGCCACAGTGAGACCTTGGGTGCCCCTGGGTTTGTCCTTCCTCTCCGTCTATTCCTCATATCTCAGTTGAAGGGCAAACTTCAGAGTCGTCCTCACTTTGCTCCTACCACTGTTCGGGGTCCCCACCTTGCGACCCTCTCCTGAGCCTCGTCCACAACTCTGTCCCCCTCCCCCCATCTCCATCTTCTTCCGCCAGATCTGGGGTAGGGGATTGGAGAAAGGGGAGAGGAAACGTCGTGGTTGGCGGGCAGGGAGGGATGCGTGTCCAGGTGAGGAAGAGGTGTGACGTGAAGGTGGGATGCCTGCCGCTACGGCGCAGCCGAGACCAGCGGTGACTGCGTCAGAGTTTCACCCGGGGAGGCGAGCGGCAGCGGGACTGGGGGAACGGCGGGGTAGCCAAGCAACGCCGGACGCGCTGACGTCGCCGGGGCGGCAAAACGTCCGCCCGGGCCCGAAGCGGGCGGAGGCAGCTGTGGTTACGTGCTGGGGGCCGGTGACGCAGTCGCGGGGCGCTGGGACGCGGCGTGCGGAGCTGGCCGGCGGGGGCAGGCCCCAGGCCCGGGCGCGGCGGCGGGACAGCACCTACCTTCCCGGCTTCGGGTCCGGGAGTGCGGGGCACGGAGCCGCCGGAGCGCTGCCTCCCTCCTGCCTCCTCCCCTCGCCCCCGCCCCGCGGCGCGACACACAATACTCGCCGGAAGCGGAAGCCACGCCGAGCTCGTGTCAGTGGAAGCTAAGGTGTCGGCGTGCGGCTGCGGCCGGGTCTAGCGATGCCTGCGGGTGAAGGAGAAGGCAAGAGGCCGGAGTGAGAACCAGAACGCGGAGGCAAGGGCGAGAAGGGACTCGGAAGGGCAGGTGGCTGAGATGCCGGCGTCCAGGTGACCCGAGGAAGCCTCTGGAGAAAGAGGGCCGCGCATGCGCGTGGTGGGGCGCTGAAGCCCACTGCCCGCAGGGCGCCAGACGCGCGCTAGGCCGGTGAGGCTGTGCGGTTCAGGCTGCCGGCCCGGCTCTGGCCCGGATCCGCCGATCCCCGCTGGGGCTGGGAGTCGCCGAGGGCGGGACGAGGGCGGGTTGTGGACTTAACAGCCACGCTTTTCCTCTCTGCGGACTAGTCCGGGGAGAGGTGGCTAGTTGAGGCGGCGGCCAATTACGTGGCGGACCTGCTGGTCTCAGTTGGCACGTCACTTCCGACTAGTTAAGTTTTAGCCTTTTAACACTCAGGGATCAGGCAAGTTCTCCTGTTGGTGGGCTTCAGGTGCTTCCTGTCCTGCCCTGCCCGGCGAACTGTATCGAAACTATCTACCTCCCCTCCCCCTTTGGAGTGGGAACCGGGAGAGAGCTGGTCCTGCGACTCTGCTGCTCACCTTTGTATCCTAAGCTCCTTGTGCGGGGTCTGACCGCAGCAAGCTCCCAGTAAACACTCGTGGACTGGGTGAGAGTCACGGCCCTTTCTTTCTGCTTTTGGAGCTGTGTCTTGAGTTTTCTCCCCAAGGGCAGACGGAACTCCAGACTTTTGCATTATAGTCTCCTAGCTTTGCTTTCCTGCTGCTGGAAGCTTCTCGGGTCTGTGACTTTTGGAGGAAGCGGCTGAGGTGAGAAGGCTGGGGAAGAGTCAGCTGGTAGAAATGTGATGGGGCAGGGAAAAGATGCTGAGTGATGAGGCTGGGGCAGGGTCAGCTGGTAGAGGTGTGATAGGGAGGGAAGAGGTGCTGAGTAGAGAGGTGATGGAGCTGGGAAGGAGGTAGTGCTGGGCAGAGGTGTGAAGGGGCTGGGAGGTGGAGCTAAGGTAGAGTATGACACTGCTAGTGGAAAAGATAGCTTGTCCCCCTACTCCCACTCCCCGACCCCAACATTTTGGCAGGCAGAGTGTCGATTGAAAGATACGAGCAAATTTTGATGTACTCTTCTTGGAGACAAAATAGCCTAACTTGTTCCTGTGTAAGTTGCGCTACTGTTTACAGACACTGTGCGTTATTTAACTTCTCATCCTGGAAGCCAAAAACTATTTTCTTGCAGAAAATATGGTCAAATGTCTGAGGTATAAAGATTTAGGATCCTACATGCTAGTTATTGATACAGTTGAATTGGTCTGCTTTTTCATTACCGTTCCTTTGGTTTTTGTTCACTTTTCTTTTTTGGTAGTCAACAATTTGAAGAAGATTAAATTTGAGAATATTACATTGATCAACTTTGTTTTTTCTCATTGCTATTTGGCTGTTAGGGATTTTAGTAGCAGCAGCAGCAGCAGCAGCAGCAGTCTAGTTCACAGACATCTCAGTTCTAAGGTAGTTTAACAGCCACTAACTGGGTGGTCAGCCTCTTTAGCATTGGCTTTGGAGGGAGAGTGATGGTGGTGAGATTTGGTTTGTCTTTTGATTTGTTTATTTGTAGCATTTAGGATGTTGCTAGCTCCTTTCTGGCTTTCTCTTTGTGAATCACCAGGGAAGTGATTAGACCAAGGAAATTACCAGGAGGAAATCTAATTCTGAGGACTATGAAGAATGTGCTTGTCAAGAGACTAATATTAAGGAAATTTAATGCTGAATATGGAAAGAAGGGGGAGTTATGTCTAGGTAAAACTATAAAATTATGAAGGGCATGTGGTATGACATAGTACGGGGGTTGCAAACCTTTCCTGTAAAGAACCAGAGAGGACATCTTTTTGGTCTTGTGGCTCATAGTCAATTTTGTTCTGACAGTGTGAAAACAATAGACAATACTAAATGAGCATAGTTGTGTTCCAGTAGAATTACTTATGGATGCTGAAATTTGAATTTCATGTAATTTTCACATGTCAGGAAATATTGCCTTTGGATTTACCCCTCAGTCATTAAAAAATGTAAAAACTATTCTTAGTTTTTGTCCCATACCAACATATATAGTGGGCCATAGTTTGTTAACCCCTAATAGAATGATAATGAAGTACCCAGTATTTTTGACAAGAGAATAATTGGGAAAGAGAATGAACACAGTTCTATGATCTCTTATTTTCATCTATTTAATAACACAAAATAATGAGAGTCTGAGATCTTAACACAAATTAATTAATTAATTAATTTATTTATTTAGAGACAGAGTCTCACTTTGTTGCCCAGGCTAGAGTGAGTGCCGTGGCGTCAGCCTAGTTCACAGCAACCTCAAACTCCTGGGCTCAAGCAATCCTCCTGCCTCAGCCTCCCGAGTAGCTGGGACTACAGGCATGTGCCACCATGCCCAGCTAATTTTTTTTTCTACATATATTGGCCAATTAATTTCTATTTATAATAGAGACGGGGTCTTGCTCTTGCTCAGGCTGGTTTCGAACTCCTGACCTTGAGCGATCCGCCCGCCTTGGCCTCCCAGAGTGCTAGGATTATAGGCGTGAGCCACCGCACCCGGACTTAACACAAATTTATTACCACCTTTGAAACTTGGCTGAGATTTATGAATACACTAGAATACAAATGTATTCTTTAAACAAAGGAAGGGTATTCCTTACTTAAAAAGCATTAGTCCAGGGAAAACGAAATGATGCTGAGTTTCGATGCTGTTTATGTCAAGGGATTTTTAACACAGGAATAAACAAAAACAAATTATGATGGGGTGCAGTATAATTAAAAAATTTTTAAATACGTATTTTTAATGTTTTTACTTCAGTAAAGGAGCACATAAGTGATCAGATAAGGTGAGATGGGGTGCAGAGGGAGAGGAGGAGGAGGGCAGTTTTTCACTGTCCAGACTTCTGGGATTTTTACTTAGAAAAAGGCAAAGTACCTAATTTTCCCTTACCGTTTGTTTTCTCATTTTTTTATTATGAAAAATTTCAAACATAGAGAAAGACCATTTTCAGTTTGCTTTTTATACATTATATGTCTTTTATCTTTCCAGTTTAGTGACATAGAACTACCTCATTCTTTTTCAAGTTTGTGTTATTACTTCATTGTGTAGACATGTAATTTATTCACCATTTCGAATAGACGTTTAAGGTTATTTACAATTCTTTTTTTTTTTTTTTTGAGATGGAGTCTTGCTTTGTTGCCCAGGCTAGAGTGAGTGCCGTGGTGTCAGCCTAGCTCACACCAACCTCAAACTCCTGGGCTCAAGCGATCCTCCTGCCTCAGCCTCCTGAGTAGCTGGGACTATAGGCATGCGTCACCATGCCTGGCTAATTTTTTCTATATATACTGGTTGGCCAATTAATTTCTTTCTATTTATAGTAGAGACTAGGTCTCGCTGTTGCTCAGACTGGTTTCGAACTACTGACCTCGAGGAATCCGCCCGCCTCGGCCTCCCAGAGAGCTAGGATTACAGGCGTGTGCCACCATGCCCAGCCTACAATTTTTATTAAATAAAGGCTGTAGTGAACATCCTTGCACATATATCTTTGGATTATCATGTCATTGTGTTAGTAGGATAAATTTCTAGAAGTTGGGCTGCTGGGTCAGAAGACATGGAGATTTAAAATTCTAGTAGATTCTTCCATTTTCCTTCCCATAAGGTTGTACTTATTTATATCCACACCCACCATATCATGAAATACAATAGTTCCCCCTTATCCTTTTTTTTTTTCCTTCTGAGGTTTCAGTTACCCCTGGTCAACTGGGATCTGAAAATTTTAAATGGAAAATTGCAGAAACAAACAATTCCTAAGTTTTAAATTGTGCACCCACAGTTCTGAGTTCCATGATGAAATCTCTCATCCTGCTTCTAACCCTTCCCCAGGGTGTGAATCATCCCTTTGTGAAGGGTATAGCACACTGTGTATGCTACCTGTCAGTCACTTAATATAGCCTTCTTGGTTATCAGGTCAACTGTATCATAGTGCTTATGTTTAAGTAACCCTTATTTTACATAATGATGGCCCCAAAGTGCAAGAGTAGTGATAGTGGCAATTCGGATCTACCAGTGAGAAGCCATAAAGTGCTTCCTTTAAGTGAAAAGGTAAAAGTTCTTGACTTAATAAAGAAAGAAAATTGTATGCTGAGGTTGCTAAGATCTGTGGTAAAAATGAATCTTCTGTCTGTGAAATTGTGAAGAAGGGAAAAGAAATTTGTGCTAGTTTTGCCATCACACCTCAAACTGCAAAAGTTATGGTCACAGTGCCTTCATTAATATAGAGAAGGCGTTAAAATTATGGATGGAAAACATGACCAGAAATGTGTTCCAAGTGACAGCAGTTGGGTTCGGTACTATCCTCCGTTTCAGACATTCACTGGAGATCTTGGAACATATCTCCCTTGGATAAGAGGCAACTGTTGTAGTCTATTTCCCTTCAGTGGTACCAGTGCTGATATCTTCATATTTCAAAAGAATTGGTAATATTTTTTATTTATAATTTTTAATGATTGCATTATAGGTCTTGTTTGCAGGTAATTTCTTAAAACACTTGTCAATAGATATTTACTTAGTTTTCTGGTGATTCTTACTTAGTTTCCATTTTGCTTTAGGTTTTTTTTTGTTTGGTTATTTGTTTTTGTTTTTGTTTTTTTTTTGCTAGGACACAGTGTTTTTTTAATGAGCTGGGCATGATGACATGCCCCTGTAGTCCTACCTAGATACTCAGGAGACTGAGGCGGGAGGATCGCTTGAGCCCCACAGTTGGAAGTTGCAATGAGCTGTGATCACATCACTGCACTCCAGTCTGGGTGACTGTTTCTTATAAAAATAAAATAAAATTCCTATGCCTTTTCTCCCATTACTCTGCCTTTTGTGAGTTGATTTTTCAGTGAACCTTTAGGAACAGCACTCTTCTAGATGGATGGTTCCTTGTGTGAGCTCGATTTATTAGCCACTTTGGGACCAGCGTCTACTGTAGTCGACAGCCACAGAAGAAGGCACACAGTGACTTTAGCCGACAGCCGTGATATGAAGGCGCACAGCCAAGTGTCGACTTTAGCCAACAGCTGTGATATGACTTTTCTAATTTTTCATTTATCAAATAAAATTGTGAACATTTAAAAATAACGTAATGAAAACATATATGTATATGTTACCTATTCTGATTTACATTACAAGGAAAGCTGCCTGTAAAGTAAAACAAGCTTTCAGTGCTTTAGAGCTTTCCTCGTCACACGAGCAAAACGGATTCGTCGTCAATGAACAGCACAAACTATTGCGTGGACTATGAGTGTCGGCTGTGGGCAAGGTTTCGTGGCCAGTGAGCATGGTACCAAAGTGGTTAAGTAGTCATCCTTCTCTCATTGAATAGACTTACACTTGTCATATGTTAAATTGTTTCATTGGAAGATCTGTTTTCGTTTTTATTTCTATATTCTAATCCTTCTTTCTATTTTTCTCTTATACCAACATCATACAAACTCTGTAATGATTTTTTTTTCCATCCTCTTCTCTCAAAGAAAAAAGCCTCTATTGTGATTCTGAGTGGAAGAGTATTAAGTGTATAACTTAATTTGGGTAGAGTTGGCATTTTTCCCATTCAAGAATGGTATACTTTTCCATTTGTTTGGGTCTTGTTTGATTCAATGAGATTTTGTAATCTTCTTCATATTTTCTTTTCTTTTTTGTTTGTTTTATATTGAGACAGAGTCTTGCACCATCACCCTGGGTAGATGCGATGGCATCATCATAGCTCACTGCAACCTCCAACTCCTGGGCTCAAGTGATCCTCCTGCCTCAGACTCTGGAGTAGCTGGAACTACAGGTGTGGGCCATGATACCCAGCTAATTTTTCTATTTTTAGTAGAGACGTCGCTGTTATTCATGCTGGTTTCGAACTCCCGAGGTCAAGCAATTCTCCTGCCTCAGCCTCCCAGAGTGCTGGGATTATAGGTGTGAACCACCATGCCAGGCAGATACAGATTTTATCATTTTTGTTACTGTTATGAATGGAGATTTCCTCCCCCTCTCCCCAATTTCCAGTAAGCAAACCAGATGCTTTATTACTTGAATAAAGAAGAAATAATTGATATTTGACTGTTTATCATATATAGTCCCTCTATCATAATCTGTTAATAATTATAGTAAGATTTTTTTAACTATAGAGTTTATTAAAGTGTGCCTGGCACTCCATGATTCAACAGGTTTCTCCAGATAATTCATATGAATTTGGCCAGAGAAGCAAATTTGAGATCTGCTAATGTTTATGCTAAAAATTCTCAAATTTTATTTCCAGTTGATATCTTTCTCCTGAAACCAGATACCTCAAGCTCAACATGTGTAAAACTGAACACATTATCTTCTCACTAGAACAAAAGAGATTACTTTTCTTTGCATATTCTAGCTAAGAGGTTTTGTTTATCCTTCCCTAAAATTTTTATTTGTTTATTCTTTAGAGTTTTATTGTTTTTACTTAGCTTGAGTTGAAGCTCATGTTTTTTTTTTTTTTTTGAGACAGAGTCTCACTTTGTTGCCTAGGCTAGAGTGAGTGCCGTGGCGTCAGCCTAGCTCACAGCAACCTCAGACTCCTGGGCTCAAGCGATTCTTCTGTCTCAGCCTCCCAAGTAGCTGGGACTACAGGCATGCGCCACCATGCCCGGCTAATTTTTTTTTCTATATATATTAGTTGGCCAATTAGTTTCTTTCTATTTATAGTAGAGACGGGGTCTCGCTCTTGCTCAGGCTGGTTTTGAACTCCCGACCTCGAGCAATCCGCCCGCCTCGGCCTCCCAGAGAGCTAGGATTACAGGCGTGAGCCACCGCGCCCGGCCCGAAGCTCATGTTTTTAATTGACACATAATAATTGTATAATATTTATGAGGTATAGAGTGATCTTTTGATACATGTATATACATTGTGTACTGATAAAATTAGAGTAATTTTTTTTCTCTTTTACGACTTTAATTGAAGCATTACTATTCATTTTTTTTAAAACTTTTAAAAGCACCAAATTTTAATATCTAAGTCAATTTTTGGGGAAAGAAACACCGTCAAGAACTTCCCTCCAGAACAAAACAATGATGTTCATTCCTCAAACATCCAAATTGAAGGTCTACCAAAACAAAAAAAAGCCCACACAGAAATAAAAACAAAAATCACATTCTAGGGGTCAGTGCATTTAGCAGTCTTCACTGTGCTGTCTAACTGTTCTTCAGCTGACTTTCAACAAAAATAATACCCTAGCTCATCAAAATATACATTTCCCATTTGCTTTTTTAAAATTAAAAATAATAATTAAAGAAAACTTCAAGAAATTCACAATCAATTGCCTGACTCATTTCGATGTCATGTACAGCATATGGAGGTCAGGAAGGTTATCTGCAGTACACATGATAGGGGATATTCATCTTTAAAGCTTAGCTTTCTTCCACACAGTGTAAAATACCCACAATTCCAAGTATGAAGGGACACAAACAATCTCAAATTCCACAGGACAATACAGGCGCCCAAGCTGTTCTTCATAGAGCGACAGGGCTTCTGTCAGATTGACACAGTTCCCCTGTGTGAAATATTTCCCATCCTTTTTCAACACTTTCATTGAGAGGTCAAGAATCAGTCTGAGGCCAGGTGCGGTGGCTCACGCCTGTAATCCTGGCACTCTGGGAGGCCGAGGTGGGCAGATTGCTCAAGGTCAAGAGTTCGAAACCAGCTGAGCAAGAGCGAGACCCTGTCTCTACTATAAGTAGAAAGAAATAAGTTGGCCAACCAGTATATATAGAAAAAATTTGCCGGGCATGGTGGCGCATGCCTGTAGTCCCAGCTACTTGGGAGGCTGAGGCAGCAGGATTGCTTGAGCCCAGGAGTTTGAGGTTGGTGTGAGCTAGGCTGACGCCACGGCACTCACTCTAGCTTGGGTAACAAAGCGAGACTCTGCCTCAAAAAAAAGAATCAGTCTGAGAAACTCCCATGTGGAATCTTCTTGTGGAGATTGGAACAGCCATCAAATCATTAATCACATAATCAGACTTTCTCCCTTCTTTGGTGTACCTCTTCAGTATTGGAATACAGTCTTCTATTAGAACCTGATAGCAGTCTCCTTTAAGATTGTCTAAGACATCACCTCAAGTTTTTCACATATATTTCTTACATACATCAATCACCATTTGGTCAGTCTCTATCTACCATAGCAACCATCTTTGGTTTCACTTTGACTATTTCACATAATATGCCCCCATCTCCACCTCCCAGAACCAATGCGTCTTTGCCAGTGTAATCTTTGCCACTGCCCATGATGGCCCGGGTATACGCCAAGTCACTCTGCCAAATTAACATCCCCACTAAGGATGAGAATATTCCCAAATTGCTTTGAGTGTAGAGTTTTAATTCTGACAAGGTGAATCTTCATCATACACCACTTCATCTGTGTTGTATTCAACCAGGCACCCATCAGCGGTGGGCCAGTATCTGTTGATGGCCCTTCCTCGAACTATGGGTGGTAATCGCTTCACTCATCCAGTACCGTCTTGGTTCAATTCTTTCATTCTTTCTTCAACTTTGTTCAAAAGAGTGTCAATTTCTTCTTTGCTCTGTGCGTCACTGTCCTAACTCTGAAGGTCCAGTAACACCAGTCCATGTGGGTAAATTCTTAAATTGGCAAAGCTGCTGTTTTTGTTTGTGTAGGTTGCTAAATAGCAGTGGTCCTGCCAGGTATGCACCGACTCTGCCATCCCCTGCTCCTGGAAATGGACTGGAGGCCTTTTAGAATGGTCTCGCCATCAGCTTTGGTGCCGAGCATGAAGTTGAGCGTGCTGTGCTGCTGCCATAGTGAGGCGAGGCCCTGTGCCATGCCTGGGGGAGGCAGCCGCGGGAGACTGGAGGGCCACGGCGTGTCGGGCTGTGGGGGGGGGCAAAATCAGGGTAATTATTATCTATCACCTTAAACATTTGTTCTCTTTATGGTGAGATCATTCAAAATCATCTAACTATTTTGAAATGTACAATACATTGTTTTTAACTATAGTCACCCTACTATGCAAAAGAACACCAGAAATTATTCTAACTGAAACTTTGTACCAGTTGACCAGACTTTCCCTATCTTCCCCTCTCTCCTACTCTCCCCAACCTCTGGTAAGCACTATTCTACTCTCTACTTACACGAGATAAACTTTTTTAGTTTCCATATGTGAGTGAGATTATGTGGTATTTGTCCTTCTGTGATTGGCTTATGTCATTTAACATAATGTCCTCTAGGTTCATCCATGTTGTTGCAAATGACAGGATTTCATTCTGTTTTATGGCTGAATAGTATTCTGTTGTGTATATATTCACCATATTTATATATTTTTTATTCATCTGCTGATGGACACCTACGTTGATGTCATATATTAGCTACTGTGAATAGTACTGCAATGAACATGGTATGCAGATGTCACTTGAACACACTGATTTTGTTTTCTCTGGATATATACTCAGGAGAGGAATTGCTGGATCACCTGGTAGTTCTATTTTTAATTTTTTGGGGAAGCTACATACTGTTTTCCATAATGGCTATACTAATTTACATTGTCACCAACAGTGTATTAGTTCCCCTTTCTTAACATCCTCACCAGCATTGTTATTTTTTATCTTTTTGATAATAGCCATTTTAACTGGGGTGAAGTAATACCTCATGGTAGTGGTGGTTTTTTATTTTTTAACCCTTTACACTCGCTTGCTTTTTTCTCGATTCCTTTAGTCTACTCGGGATTTAATTTTTGAAATAGCCCAGATTTTACAAATGCAGCAATAGAATAAAATACTGGAGTTTCTTTTCATACAAACTTATTTATTTGGATTTTTTTATATTTCAAATTATTGATACATTCAAAGAGTAATTTTATTTTTTAATTTTTTTTCTCTTTTATTCTTTTTTTTTTCTCTGCATACACCACTGTGACTTGGGACAAAGAGTAATTTTAATCTCTATAATTTTTCATGGTGTGATATTTTTTGAAATATTCACCCACATGAAGACCTGGTTTACATTCACATGGTTCGTAAATATAAATTGTCTCTCTTCTTCCTCTTTTGATTTTTCTGTTAGAACAAACAACACAATCTTTGTGTTTTTTGTTAGGGTGAGGTGTGATTATATGGAGCTTTCCATCTAAATGTTGCTCTAAGTTAGTGGATAATAGTCTAACCCTGGAAGTTCGTGGACCATCTCTGCATTTACATTTTACTTGTCCTTTCATGCTAATGAAAACAAGAAAAGATACTGGAAAAATAGACAAAAATCCCCTTTTCCCCTGTGGTGAAACTATGTGTGGAGTGTGGCTCCGCATACGAGCTACTACCAATGCTAACTGTGTAGAGTCACACTCGACATCCGAGTGCAAAGGGTTAAAGATAGGGTTTTGCTTTGTCACCCATGCTGGAGTGCAGTGGTGATCATAGCTCACTATGACCTGAACTGCTTGAGCTGCTGGGCTTCAGGTGATCCTCTTGCCTCAGCCTCCTGAGTAGCTGGTACTACAGGCGCATGCCATCATGCCCGGTTGGTTCATTTTTAAATTTTTTGTAGAGACAGGGTCTCACTGTTGCCCAGGTTGGTCTCAAGCAATCCTCCCGCCTTGCTTTGGCCTCCCTAAGTGCTGGGATTATAGATGTGAGCTGCTGTGCCCTGCCTTTTTGTGGTTTTGATTTGCATTAGTGATATTGAGCATTTTTTCATATACCTATTGACCATTTGTACATCTTCTTTTTTTTTTTTTTTTCTAGGCTAGAGTGAGTGCCATGGCGTCAGCCTAGCTCACAGCAACCTCAATCTCCTGGGCTCAAGCGATCCTTCTGTCTCAGCCTCCCAAGTAGCTGGGACTACAGGCATGCCCGGCTAATTTTTTCTATATATATTAGTTGGCCAATTAGTTTCTTTCTATTTATAGTAGAGACGGGGTCTCGCTCTTGCTCAGGCTGGTTTCGAACTCCCGACCTCGAGCAATCCGCCCGCCTCGGCCTCCCGGAGAGCTAGGATTACAGGCGTGAGCCACCGCGCCCGGCGTGTACATCTTCTTTTGATAAATGTTTATTTAGATCTTTTGTCTATTTTGTAATTATTAGTATTTTTTGCTATTGAATTGAGGTCCTTATATATTCTGGATATTAACCCCTTGTCAGATGCTTAGTTTGTAAATATTTTTTCCTGTTGTATAGATTGTCTCATTGTTGATGTTTCCTTTGCTGTACAGAAGCATTTTAGTTTAATATAATCACCATCTATTTTTGCTTTTGTTGCCTGTGCTTTTGAGGTTCTATCCAAAAAAATCCTTGCCCAAACCAATGTCATGAAGCATTTCCCCTGTTTTTTTCTAGTACTTTTATAGTTTTGGATCTTACATTTAAGTCTTTATTCCATTTGGAGTTGATTTTTGTGAGTAGTGAGAGGCATCTAGCTTCCTTCTTCTGCATGTGGATATCTAGTTTTTCCAGCACCATTTATTAAAGAGATCATGTCGATTCCTCACTATGTGTTTTTGACACCTTTGTCAAAAATCAGTTGGCTATAAATATATGGGTTTAATTTTGAGTTCTTGATTCTGTTCCCCTGGTCTGTGCGTCTTTTTTTTATGCCAATTCCATGCTGTTTTGGTTACTATAGCTTTGTAGTTTATTTTTGAAGTCAGGTAGTGTAATGCCTCCAGTTTTGTTCTTACTCAAGATTGCTTTGGCCATTCAGGGTCTTTTTTGGTTCTATGTGAATTTTAGGATTTTTAAAAAAATTTCTGTGAGAAATGTGATTGATATTTTTATAGGGATTGCATTGAATCTGTAGATCACCTTAGGTATTATGGACATTTAACAATATTAATTCTTTCAATCCATGAACACTGGCTACCTTTCCATTTATTAATATTCTCCCTATTTCTTTCTTCAGTGTTTTATAGTTGTCATTGTGGAGATCTTTTACCTTTTTAGTTTAATTTATTCCTAGGTATCTGTGGCTATTATAAATGGAATTGCTTTCTTGATTTCTTTTTTCACATTGTTTGGTGTTGGCATGCAGAAATGCTACTGATTTTTGTATATTGATTTTGTACCCTGCAACCTTATTGCATTCATTTATTAGTCCTAACAGTTTTTTGGTGGAGCTGTAGGGTTTAAATATCACGTTGTCTGTAAACAGGGACAATTTGACCTCTTCTTTTCCAATTTGGATGCCCTTTATTTTTTTTTTTCACTTACCTAATTGCTCTGGCTAGGACTTCCAGTAGTATGTTGAATGGAAATGATGAGAGTGGGCATCCTTGTCTTGTTCTAAGCTTAGAAGATAAGCCTTCAGTCTTTCCCGTTGAGTATGATGTTAACTGTGGGTGTCTCATATATGGACTTTATTGTGTTGAGGTTTGTTTCTTCTACACCTAATTCGTTTAGAGTTTTTCCATGAAGGGATGTTGAATTTTATCAAATGTGTTTTGAATTGATTCTATGATTTTTGTCCTTCATTCTATTAATGTGAGGTATCATGTTTATTGATTTGTGTGTTTTGAACGATCCTTGCATCATTGGGATGAATCCCACATGATTAGATGGTGAATAATCTTTTTGATGTGCTATTGGATTCGGTTTGGTAACACTTTGTTGAGTTTTTTGCATCTAAGTTCATCAGGGATATTGGCTTATAGTTTTATTTTTTTATTCTATCCTTCTCTGGTTTTGGTAACAGGATAATGCTAAGCTTGTAGAATGAATTAGGAAGAATTCTGCCTGTTTCAATTTTTTGGAATAGTTGGAGAAGAATTGGTGTTAGTCTTTACATGTTTGGTAGATTTTATCAGGTCCTGGGCTTTTTTTGGATGAGATACTTTTATTAGTGATTCAATCTTGTTCCTGGTTGTTTGTGTGTTCTGGTTTTCTATTTTTTCTTGATTCAGTCATGGTAGATTGTGTGTGTTCAGGAATTTAACCATTTCTTCTAAGTTATTCAATCTGTTGGTGTATCAGTTCACAATAATCTCTAACAACCTTTATATTTCTGTAGTATCAGATGTTTGTTTATTTGTTTAATAGACAGCTCTGTCTCGGAGCTCCAGGGAAATAAATGCCCATTATAATGAGGCTCAAACTCCTAGGCTCAAGCAGTCCTCTAGCCTCAGCCTCCGGAGTAGCTGGGACTATAAGCTATGGTATCAGTTTTGATGTCTCCTTTTTCATCTCTGATTTTATTTTTTTGAGTCATCTCTTTTTTTTCTTAGGTAGTCTAACTAAAGGCTTGTCAATTTTGTTTGTCTTTTCAAAAAAACAGCTCTTCATTTTGTTAATCTTTTGTATTTATTTATTTATTTTTTTATTAATAGTCACTTTTCTTTTTTCCCTGTCACCGAAGTAGAGTACAGTAGCATGACCATAACTCACTGCAGCCTGAAACTCCTGGGCTCAAGGGATCTAAGCTGCCTAAGTTTCCCAAGTAGCTGGGAATAAATATGTGTGCCACCATACCTGGCTAATATTTTTTTCAATTTTTTTAAAGGTGGCATCTTGCTGTATTGCCCAGGCTGATCTTGAACTTCTGGCCTCAAGCCATCTTTCCACCTCAGCCTCCTGAGTTGCTGGGATTACAGACGTGAGCCACCATACCCAGCTATTTTGTTTCTTTCTACTCTGAACTCTATTATTTTTTTCCCTTTACTAATTTTGGGTTTAGTTACTGTTTTTCTAGTTCCTAGAGGTTCAGTGTCAAATTGTTTGAGATATTTCTGGTTTTTTTTTTTTTTTTTTTTTGAGACAGAGTCTCTCTTTGTTGCCCAGGCTAGAGTGAGTGCCATGGCGTCAGCCTAGCTCACAGCAACCTCAAACTCCTGGGCTCAAGCAATCCTCCTGCCTCAGCCTCCTGAGTAGCTGGGACTACAGGCACGCGCCACCATGCCCGGCTGATTTTTTGTATATATATTTTTAGTTTGCCAGTTAATTTCTTTCTATTTTTAGTAGAGACGGGGTCTTGCTCAGGCTGGTTTTGAACTCCTGACCTCGAGCAATCCACCCGCCTCGGCCTCCCAGAGTGCTAGGATTACAGGCGTGAGTTACCACGCCCGGCCCTCTTTCTGTTTTTTGATGTAGGTGTTTGTTACTATAAACTTTCTTCTTAAGACTGTTTTTGCTATATCCCTTAGGTTTTGGCATGTTATGTTTCCATTTTCAATTGTCTTAAGAAATTTTTTAATTTCCTTTTTACTTTCTTCGTTGACCCATTGGTTGTTCAGGAGCATGTTGTTCAATTTCCATATATTTTTACAATGTCTAAAATTCCTCCTGTTAATGATTTCTAGTTTCATTCCATTGTGGTCAAAAGATACTTGATAGGATTTTGATTTGTTTAACTTTGATAAGACTTGTTTTGTGGCCAGCATGTCCTGGAGAATGTTCCATGTGCTGTTGAGAAGAATGTGTTTTCTGCAGCTGTTGGATGGAATCTTCTACAAATGTGTTAGATCTGTTTGGTCTAAAGGCCAGTTTAACTCTGATTTTTCTTTGTTGATTTTCTGTCTGGATGATCTATTATTAGTCCATTGCATAAAGTAGGTTGTTGACATCCCCTATTATTATTGTATTGCAGTCTTTCTCTCTCTTTAGATCTATTAATATTTGCTTTACATATTGGATGCATGTGTATTGTAATTGTTATATCCTCCTTCTGTATCATTATATAATTGCCGCCTTTTTTTTTTTTCCAGTTTTTGGCGAAAGTCTGTTTAATCTGATGTAAGTATTGCTATTCCTACTCTTTTTTGCTTTCCATTTGCAAGGCATATCTTTTTCTGTCTCTTCACTTTCAGTCTATGCATGTCCTTACAGGTCATATGGGTCTCTTTTAGGCAACATATAGTTTGGTCTTGTTTTTTAATCCATTCAGGCACCCTGCATCTTTTAATTGAAGAATTTAATCCATTTACATTCAAGGTAATTATTTTTAGGTAAGTGCTTATAATTGCCATCTTGTTACTTGTTTTCTAGTTTTATGTATCCTTTCTTCCTTCCTCTCTTACAGTCTTCCTTGTGGTTAAGTGATTCTCTCTAGTGGTATGTTTGATTCCTTGCCTTTTATTTTAGTGTTTCTTTGATAAGTTTTTGCCTTGTGGTAACATGAGGTTTACAGAAAGAATCCTATACTGTTGACTCTTGAACAACGTGGGTTTGAACTTGGTAGGTTCACTTATACACAGGTTTTTTTCAGCCAAACATGGATCAGAGATATAATATTTGTGAGATGTGAAAATCGTGTATATGGAGGGCTGACTTTTTATATACGCAGGGTCTACAGGGCTGACTGTGGTACTTCAGTATGCATACATTTTGGTATATATTGGGGGGGGGGTCCTGGACCAATCCCTTGCATATATTAATACTAAGGGACCACGGTAGTTGTTACAAGTCATTTTAAACTGATAACAACTTAATCTTGAGTACAAAGAAAATAAATGAAGCAAAAATGTACATTTTAATTCCATTTTCCTTTCCACATTTTGAATTTTCAGTTCACAATTTATATATTTTTTTAATATTCCCTATCTCCTAACAAATTACTGTAGATTTTACTTTTATTTATTTATTTTTTCTGGTGTAAAGATATTATTGAAGATTTTACTTTTAATAGTTTTGTCTTTTAGTCTTCATGCTGAAGTTAAAGGTGGTTTCCACACCATAATTACAGTATTACAATAACAATTATGTTAGTATCACTTTCTTTTGATTCGAAACACTCCTTTTTAGCATTTCTTATAGGACAGGTCTGGAAGTGATGAATTCCCTCAGCTTTTTTTTATTTTTGGTCTGGGAAAGTCTTTATCTCTCTTTCATTTCTTAAGGATAATGGTGTTGGCTGTAGTATTCTTGGTAGGCAGTTTTTGTTTGTTTGTGGGTTTGGTTTGTTTCTTTGTGCTTTCGTTTTTGGTTTTTCTTCGTCTTTAGCACTCTGAATATATCCCTCCCCTTTTAGGCTTCAAGGTTTCTCTGAAAAGTCTGCTGTCAGGTATATCGCATCTCTCATGCTATTTCTCTTGATGCTTTCAGATTCCTCTTTTTATGTTTGACCTTTGAGAGTTTGATTATGGGGTATTCTTTTTTCTCTGACTGTATTGTCAAACAGCCTTCCTTCAAGCTCACTGATTCTTTCTTATGTTTGATCAGTTCTGTTGTTGATGTACTCTATTGCATTTTTCATTTACTTCATGATATTTTTCAGCTCCAGGATTTCTGTTTGACTTTCTTCTATTTCAATCTCTCTGTTAAATTTCTGAATTGTTTCTTTTGTTCTTTTGAAGTTTGTTGAGGCTTCCTTAAAACAGCTATTTTGAATTCTGTGTCTGAGAGATCATATATCTTTATCACTTTAGGGTCAGTCTCTGGCACCTTATTTTGTCAGTTTGGGGAGGTCATATTTCCTTGAATGTCTTGATGCTTGTGGACCTGTGCCAGTGTTTGTGCATAGAGGGATTAGGTATTTATAATATTATATTCTTTGCAGTTTGGCTTTGTTTTGTACCATCCTTCTCCAGAGTGCTTTCTGGAAATTCTAGGCAGAATTTGTTCTATTCCTTGAGCTTCTGACCGCTGTGTTTGTCTCAGCTCTGGAGGGTGCTCTAAATCCAGGTTGGCCATGAGTTTTGTAAAGGCTCTGAAGTTGGCACACCTCTTCAGCCCAAATGGACCTGGGAAGACCCAAGGAGGCCACTTGGGCTGTGTGAGAGAGCTGGCTGGGAACGTGAGCCTGAAAGACTCTCCTGGTAATTCAGACTGGTGTGTCTCTCAGCAGGTTCCTGCACAGCCAGTGAATTATTGGCTGGAGATTGAGACTAGGCCCTATGAGGATCTGCTGTGAGACCGAAACTGAAGAGCCTGTCTCATCTCAGATAAGTGTGTGTCTCCCAGCAGGTCTCTGCACAGACTGGATAGTGACTAAGTTTTGGTGTATTCACTTTCGCAGGACAACACCTGGAATTTTTCTGTCTTACCACTTACAATTAAATTGTTCCTTAGATCCAAGAATTCTTGATTCTCCACTGCTGCTGTTCTCTTCTACCTGGAGTTTGCAGTGGGCTCCCTGCCCATTTTTTCCCTTTCTATTTCAAGTAAAGACTTTATTTTCTTCCTCAACCATTCAGTAGCTCCCCAGTGCCTTTAAGATTGTATCTAAACTTCTTAACATAGCAGATTTAGCACAATAGAAATGATTAGACCCCTCCAAATTACTCATTTTATTTTTTGTTTTATTTTTTTAGAGATGAGGTCTTCCTGAGTTGCCCAGCCTGGTCTATAACCCGCGGCCTCAAGCAATCCTCACTTCAGCCTCCCGAAATAATGAGATCATAGGTGTGAGCCACCACGCGGGGCCTGACTCACTTCATTGTACCACATTCACCTCCCATGCTGAACTTTACATAGTTCTGTAAGCACTGTTTTAGTTCTTAATTATCTTTTAAAACTTCATACAGGTGTCATTTCTCAAACTCTAGCTGGTTATCCAAACTCCTTTTCTGGCTCTCAAACACCCATGAATGTGCATCCCCCACCCACACACTTCGTTTTTGTTTTTGTGTCTCCTTAGCTATGTTGAGCATTTGAGGGATAAAAATGGTCTTTAAAATAAATAAATAAATAAATAAATAAATAAATAAAAATAAAAATGGTCTTTTATCTTCATCCCTAGCAACCTAATACATTTTATAGCACATATGTGCACAGTAAGCATAGAATGGATTCCTCAAGTTCATGATCCCTATTCCTTTACCCATAGTGATTATCAATAAAATGTTCAAAGTGAGAAGGTGAATAGTGCTTTTTTCAAAAGCAATAAGGAGTTGGAGAAGGAATTTTTTTCATATCTTACTGCACATTTTTTTGTCTTGGAGACTTTAAGGAATATGGTGAGTATTACAGCTTTACTAGGGAAAGCAGACCAGGTCTCAGCTACCAAGGCCTTTGGTTTTCCAGCCTGCTTTGCTTCTTCCTGTGGATTTTCTGGCCTCTGTCATTCTGGAACCTCTGTCATTATATCATCTCTTTGAGCATGAGGTTTTAGCACCTTGTAGTATTCTGAGGAGTTCTCTTGCTTTCCTCACTTGCTCCCACATGTTTAAATTTTTAACTCATTATGATTGTAAATTACTGATTTTTTCCCCAGAACATTGTGGGGAGAACATAATGTTGTTCCAGAACAACAAACATTTGGTGACATGAATTGCTTTTGTACAGTTTGAGTCAAAGTTATAAGTGTGTCCCTCTCCCAGATAGGGTGCATTGTACCTGTTAGGTATGAATTTACCCATCCACTCCCTCCCAAATTTCTAAATTTTTAAAAGATAATAGTATCATTTATGATTCTACATATAGATAGCATAGGTCCTCCTTGCTGATTTTGTTGCTTCATAATTAAGAGTTGAATTCTAGTGTATGTAACGGTAACTCCCTGGTTGTCAGTAGTAAGGAAAGGAAAATAGTGAACTTTATTTTGTGTGCTAAGAAGCAGAAATTATTTATTCTTGCTTTTTGAGATTTTAGGGGCACAATAAATAACATTCCTTTTTCTCCCTGCCAGTTTATTGTTTTTTTATTTTTTGAGACAGAGTCTCACTCTGTTGCCCAGACTAGAGTGAGTGTGGCATCAGCCTAGCTCACAGCAACCTCAAACTCCTGGGCTCAAGCAATCCTACTGCCTTAGCCTCCCGGGTAGCTGGGACTACAGGCATGCACCACCATGCACGGCTAATTTTTTCTATATATTTTTAGTTGTCCAATTAATTTCTTTCTATTTTTAGTAGAGACAAGGTCTCGTTCTTGCTCAGGCTGGTTTCGAACTCTTGACCTTGAGTGATCCACCCGCCTGGGCCTCCCAGAGTGCTAGGATTACAGGCATGAGCCACCGCGCCCGGCCAAGGTCCCTGCCAGTTTCAAAACAAGGGAGAGATGTAGGAGTCAAGCAGAGTCTAAGATACCACTTTTATTAATTTCATGAAATTGTAATTGGAGAGAATAGCTTAGAAATAGCCATTTGAGGCTGGGCGCGGTGGCTCATGCCCGTAATCCTGGCACTCTGGGAGGCTGAGGTGGGAGGATTGCTCAAGGTCAGGAGTTCGAAACCAGCCTGAGCAAGAACGAGACCCTGTCTCTACTAAAAGAAATAGAATGAAATTAATTGGCCAACTAAAATTAGCCGGGCATGGTGGTGATGTCTGTAGTCCCAGCTACTCGGGAGGCTGAGGCAGTAGGATCGTTTGAGCCCAGGAGTTTGAGGTTTCTATGAGCTAGGCTGATGCCACAGCACTCTAGCCCGGGCAACAGAGTGAGACTCTGTCTCAAAAAAAAAAAAAAAAGAAACAGCCATTTGATTTGCTTAGCCTGTCTCACATTGAACTTGCTCTACCCCACCCCACCGTCCATCAGAACTTGTCAGCTAAGTTTCTGTATGGCTGGGGGCCGATGAAAATCATCTCCTCTGCATGCAGATGTGAAGAGGAGAAGGGCAAGGAGCCACGCCAAGCATGTTCAGTTCTTGCTCCCTAACTCACTGGTTAGGTCAGTTCTCAGAATGCTGGGGTGAGAGAAGGGAGTTTGGGGTATAATCTTTCTCAAGAAAACTAGGACAATGAAGAATAATTGTTTCTCCCTAATTACTTTAAAACTAGACAGGTAGATAATGTTGGGGGCTCAGAAAATACCCCAAAGTATGGTGCTTTGGCATGCTGAATACTTTGAACTTAAGGAAAGTAGACCTCAGAAGCAAAGTCTTGTATGACTTTCACCTGCCCTCCTTTCCCCTGTTTCGTTTTCTCCCCCAAGGCAAGCCATAGAAAGTAGAATTCCTTCTCCCTAAGGAGGGGTTCATAGAAACTAGAACTTGTCTTCCCTAAAGCTAGCCATAAAACCTAGAATACTACTTTAACTTCCCTCCTTCACCTTTTTGTGTAAGAGCTGGCCATAAAGAAATTCTCTAACCTACCTTGTCTGATGGATGATAGGTCCTAAGACCCTCATTCAAGAAGGGCTCCTGCCCCACACCCATGAAGAAGGAATGCAATACAGAGAATCTAACAAGAATATGGACAGGCTTTACTGGGTTTCCTTACTCAGTTTGTTAGCATTAGATCATACTCTTTTTGTCCCAGCACATTTCTGCATGGCTATCTGTGCTTCATCAGTCCTAAACATAAAAATGAATAGTTTCCCCTGGATCTTTGGGTCTTCATTCTGAGAGTGCCTGTGTCATGTAAAACTTTGATTAAATAAATTTCTTATGCTTTTTTTCTTGTTAACCTATCTTTTGTTATAGAAATGTCTGCTGTGACCCTTATAATGGGGAGGAAAAGTATCACAGGTAGATAGGTAGATATAGATACACATTTTTTTTTTTTTTTTTTTTTGAGACAGAATCTCGCTTTGTTGCCCAGGCTAGAGTGAGTGCCATGGCGTCAGCCTAGCTCACAGCAACCTCAAACTCCTGGGCTCAAGCAGTCCTGCTGCCTCAGCCTCCCGAGTAGCTGGGACTACAGGCATGCGCCACCATGCCTGGCTAATGTTTTATATATATATCAGTTGGCCAATTAATTTCTTTCTATTTTTATAGTAGAGACGGGGTCTTGCTCAGGCTGGTTTTGAACTCCTGACCTTGAGCAATCCGCCCGACTCGGCCTCCCAGAGTGCTAGGATTACAAGCGTGAGCCACCGCGCCCGGCCTAGATACACTTTTTAAATTGTGAAATTAACAAAGTCATAAAACTCATAAAACTAAAAAAGTATTGCACAATGATTTTTCACTAGGAAAATCACCAACATCCAGCTCAAGAAATAAAATATTGCCAGCCCTTCAGAATTCTTCCTCCCCTTTTCCACCTCTTGATTGTATCCTCTCCCTTTTGCGCAGGTGCCCTGACTGCTACAATAGTTCTGTCTTTGCTTTTTCTTATAGCTTCACTGCCTCTGTATGCATCTCTAAACACTATATTTTAGTTCTGCTGTTTTTTAATTTTTATGTAAAAAAATCATGTATTGAATGCCTTTGTATGTCTGGTTTCTTTTGCTAACATTACATTTCTTATTCACCTGTTGTTGCTTGTAGCTTATAGTTCATTTGTTTTCATTGCTTTGTAGTATGTTATCAATGTGCCACAATTTATTCATGTCATTGTTGATAAACTCTGGGGTTCTTTGCCAGTTTTTGACTGCTGCAAATATTCATGTATGTATCATGAATATAATTTTAGCCATTTTTCCTGAGTATCTTCCATGATTACAAATCACATAGATCCCAGTGTAGATGGACTCTAAATAATAAAAAATTAGACAAAAAAAAAAAATGAGATAGAATTCCTTTTTCCTAAGATATTGGCCATTTGGTATTCTCTTTTTTGAAATGTCTCTTTTGCCCATTTTTTTTTCTGTTGAGCTGTCAACCTTTTTCTTATGAGGGAGTTTTTTTTTTTTAAATTTAGAAATAAAATTTATTTCTTATAGTTCCAGAGGTTAGGAAGTCTAAAGTCAAGGGGATACATCTAGTGAGAGCCTTCTTGCTGGTGGGGAGTCTGCAGAGTCCTGAGGTGGCACAGGGCATCACATCGTAGCTCAGGTGTGTCTTCCTCCTCTTACAAAGCCACCAGTCCAACTCCCATGATAACCCATTAGTCCATGAACATTTCTTAAAAGCCCTACCTCTCTGTATTGCCACATTGGGGATTAAGTTTCAGCATGAATCTTGGAGGGGGCAAACATTCAAACCGTAGCATTCTGTCCTTGGCCCTCCGAAACTCATTGTCTTTCTCACATACAAGTACATTTATTCCATCCTCATAGTCCCAAGGTCTTAACTTGTTTTCTCATCAGCTCAAAAGTCCAAAGTCCCATCTGTGGAATCAAAACAAGTTCTAAGATACAGTGGCAGGATAGGGACAGGGTAGACATTCCCATTCAAAAAGGGAGAAATAGGTAAAAAAAAAGGGTTAGCAGGCCCCAAGCAAGTCCAAAAGCCAAGAGGGTAGACATTAAATCTTAAAGCTGGAGAATAGTCTTCCTTGACCCCATGTCAGCATCCTCTGCACCTGGAGGAGTTCTTCATGCAGTCTAGTTGTAAGCTCTCCCACTCTGTGGCTTGCATTTTTGCTTTCTTGATGTCTTCATGAACAGAAATTCTAAGATTTAGTGTAATCTGGTTTGTCAGTATTTCTTATATAGTTAATACTTATTATTTCCTGCTTAAGAAGTCTTTTTTCTAGCATTAGGTCAT